AGATATGAACAAAAAAATAAAAACTACATCTGGCCAAAAATTACATTAATCAATATTAAAGAATATATACAGTATCTTCAGTGAAGTTAAATTAAAACAAGTAAAAATAAAATAAAATTTTGAGAAAAAACGAAATAAAAAAAAACATTATTTAAATGAAAATTAAAAAAAATAAAAATAAAATAAGCATGGGTTAATTTTTAAAATTAAGACTCAATAAATTTTATCAACCATTCACCTCAGTCAAAATCTGTTTCACAATATTTATTTTATTGTATAACGTCATTTTGGGATGTGAGAAGGACATGGTAGAGATGATATTTAAATGAGGACAAGGAGGAGGCATGGCGGATTTCAGATGGTAAGGAATTCCAGAATGCTGTGGATCGGGAAATAAAGGAATATTCAAACGTCTTAGTTCTATGGGAAGGGATATAAAGGTCGGAAACACGGGATCTTGTTTTCTGGGAGTGGACCACGGGTTTAAACTGTAGGAGACTGTAGATGTAAGAAGGGTGTCTGGTGTTGATTGTTTGGAATAGGAAAGATCCGAGGAAATATTGTCTGCGGAAAGAAGGGAAGAGCCACTTTAACTCGTCGTAAAGGTGGGACACACGAGATCGCCTTGATGTACGTATAAAATATGTAATTTTATCTAAAATAAATAAAAATAAAACCAATCAAATAACCTAACATGGAATATTTAATTTTAATATAATAATACATGCAGAGTGAATCGAATAGACGATCGGTTTTAAAGCTATTACACGCAATAAGTTGTGCAATACCGTAAAAACTTTGGCTCTATTCATATTTTTAATTTCTAACAAGAAGGTATCCATTTTAATAACGTGTGCCACTACTCGAGGTTCCTTCCTTTCAACTTCACACTAGCGGATCCAGGATTTAATTTTGGGGTCTTCAGCCCGGAAGCTTTTTTCCATACATATGACGATAATTACTTTGGAAAAACAGAAAGATACTAACTACCTGTATGAAATGGTGTTTAAGTGATTCTTCAAGTCCTATTAAAGGTAACTAAACTATCAATAATACTTTAAGACATAATTTTTTATATTTTTTACCATAAAACATGGTTACATTTTACCATTTTGGGGGGCTTCAGCCCGAAAGCCCTTCCCCCCCCCCTAAATCCGCCTGTGCAACTTCACATATTTTTTTTGCATTTCTAACTTTTGAAAATATAACTACATAATGAAAAAAAGTTTCTAACTATTCTTTATGAAATAAAATGAATGTATGAGGATACTAAGTTTATTATTATACCAATACCGTATATGCCAGATCTGAAATACCCTTTCAACCCAGAAAGAGAATTGAAAAAGAAAAATATATGCCAAAATGCAAGTAAATTCTTATTTAGGTCAGGAGTGACAAAAATGCAAATAATTGACAAAATTATTTAAATATCTGCATGGAATAAAGTAAATTTGATTCAATTATCGAAATTTTAAATAGCGAAATATATTATGGTTATATCATGCAACGAAAAATCTAAATCGTGCTACTTTGTTCAAAATGAGCAATTTTGTGCAATATTAAATTATAATATATTATTCCACCCGAAATACTTAAATCTCTAGTTTTAGAAAATATTTTCGAGAGGTATTGAGAAGAGGGATGGCTTCAAATTTTTAACAGCAGCAAGGGGTAATAGCAACAAAGGATAGATATGCGGGATTTTAGTGGTATCAATTTAAAATTGCCGCAACCATCAAATCTGCTGCAATATGACTCTGCTAAACTGAGAGTTTTCCCCTCACTTTCAAAGGTATTGAGATCACAAAAAATCTCAAGTGTAAAGTGTTTCTGAAATCCGGAGAAGAGACCAGGACACTAACCAGCACCCTAGAATGAATTATTTAAAGATTTCAGAGAAAGGTCCTCCGCATGATAAACGGGCTGATATGGGATAAGGATACGAACGCATGGAAGAGAAAGACCAATAAAGAGCAGATTATAGAAATTCTTCAATCAATATCTAATGATGTGAAGGCTGGGAGGTTAAGATTAGCTCTTAGCTCGGAGCAATCCATCAGGAAGCATCCAATTCTGCAATGCAGTGGAATCTATACAGAAGGATAGAATTAACAAAGAAGCAATAAGATTCCGGAAATAAATTACTGGTTTCGGTATCGGAAATAGACTATTTTTACATCAATTTTAAATATTTAGGTTCGGCTGAGAAAAGAAAAATGCATTGTTGGATCCATTGGGTGTTTTACTTTATATAAAACATCGATAAGGGTCACTTTTTAAATAAATTATAATATCTTTACTTCTATATTTAACTTAACCATCCCTTTTATACCTCAAGTCATTTTAATTCCATGAAATTTCCTCATTCCATTACTGTAATTTGTTATTCATAGAACTGAAAGACATTATTACATTTATATTTAAATGACTCAATAAAACTGCTTGAATATTAGATCTGTTCTAAAAATATTCTCTACAATATGATATATGAATATGAAGAGCTATATAGAAGCAAAGATATTATAATATATTTAAAAAGTGTCCCTAATCGATGTTTTATATAAAGTAAAACACCCAATGGATCCCACAATGCATTTTTCTTTTCTTAACCGAACCTAAATATTTAAAATTGGTATAAAAATAGTCTATTTCCGATACCGAAACCAGTAATTTATTTCCGCAATCTTATTGCTTCTTTGTTAATTCGATCTATCCTTCTGTATAGATTCCACTGCATTGCAGAATTGGATGCTTCCTGATGGATTGCTCCGAGCTAAGATATAATAGTAATTTATTTAATTAAAATCTTTTCTAGAAATCGTGATATAGATTTAAGCTTCCTCTCCTTCACCCTAAATCTAAACTCTAATAACCAAAAGATTCAATAGTTTACAATTCACAGTTACCAATTCGAGCCCATAATATCGCCTCTAAATTCATCGAGCTGAAATCTCCTTTTATTCGTTCAGTTGGACATGTTTTCATGATTCAACCGGGTATCTCTTTTTTAATATCTTTAGTTAGGTTAGGCTAACATAGAGACAACGTTACGCCACTTGTTATAACTTACGCCATTTGGCTTAAAGTTCTCGGACCTTTATCCTCTGCCTTCTAATCACTTTGGTGGCATCAGTACTATCGTCCATATGGACTAATGGACCCTACTCACAGAGTGCCTTTATATGCTTCGGCGATACGATATTCCTGTCGATGGAGGTACGGTGATATAGTTGTATTACTATCTATTGCATTATAGCAATCATACCGATGAATGATATCGTATTGCGTTCTGCATGTAGGAGCCTTTAGACGGAGTCAACCTTGGTCACGCGGTAGAATCCTTTAATTATATACATATATCTTTTTCTTGCCTCTCTCATGCTAATATTCGTTGGCATACTGCTTTTTTATTCTATAATTATCTTGATCATCTTCCTTATTTTACTCTTGAACTACCCAAATATTCCAATATCTACCGAATGTCTAGTTGTCTCCTTGCCTCCACTTGACAATGGTTAAAGTTCTCTACAGTATCAAAGCTTAGATTCTAGACACCGAGGTTTTATTTTCTCCACTGTTCTCTGAAATAGCTCAAGGCACAGGTTTTGACTACAATCTCTAGAGTATACTCTGATAAAAGTATTTTGATAAGATAAAGTTTCTACTAGTAAAGATAATATATTGCAGTTAATATCATACTAATGACTGATTTCCTATTCACGGAAGCTCTTATCCAATATAAAAAGCTATTATATTATATTGAGTAAGCTTTGCTCTTTTCAGATTCAGATTTCAGGAGAACCATTGGAGCTCTTTTAATCGTAGGTTTTTGGTCTTTCGGTGGCTTATCTTCTTTGATTGGCCTTCATTACTGTATATAAAGTAATTTAATTAGTAGAATAAATGACCTATAACCTATAATCTCCCACATAATAAACACTACTTTCTTGTTTAATCGGTCCAATATTTCAACCAAAACGAAATCCTGTACTAAATAAAATATTATCGAAATTAGACTTGTTGCAGATATCATTTTGAGGGATTTGATATTTATGAACATGTTCCATTTTTTCTATTGAATTGTGCCAAATCTCAATAACTTACAAAACTATGCAAGTATCTTATATATATTTTTAGATCTCTTTGAGTAATAATTTTCAGCGTTTTTTTAAATTTATTTTTTAGTAAAAACATAATTACATCAGCTATGTTATAACTATATTTTTTCCCCCTTTCGCTCTCCTAAATCGCCTTTTTGGCTTTAAAGGTTAAAAACCTCGTATATTATGAATGGCCGGGTAGGGGGAATAAGAAAAAAACTGTTTCTGGTCAACGCATCTTTATCACTTGCGTTAGCCCTTTCGACCACCCCACTCTCTCGTTGTACAATTATTATTTTCCATCTGCCACCTGTTCTTTTCACAATATTACGGTGATGTAACTGAGACCTAAGAGAACTAAAGGCAAAGGTGCTCTCCCCTCTCCAGGGGAGATGATGCATTCTCCTCTTCTTCTCTCTCTCTCTTTCTCTCTCTCCGGCCAAGAAATTTATTGCTCTCCTCTGCTTAAAAACAGTGGAGGTGAAAGTATAATTAGAAAAATATACATCACATACAATTCCACTTGCTGTATGCATCTGTACCTATTTTACCTTTGTTCCCTGGTTTGAAAGTTTCCCTAAATTTAAATCCAAAATAAATGAGTCCCCTTCAAAAATTCAAAACCTCGTAAAAATGTTGATGGCACAACTTGGGCCGTTCCATTGCATTTCAGAAGGAAGGATGCGACAAGTAAAGAGGAGAAATGACCAGGGTGAGATTATATTACTTCTAATTTTTATTTATGTGCATATATTTAGTTCATAATTTTTTAAGTTAACAGAATGGGAGTGTTTGATATTATCATTATTGTTTTGCTTATGTTCAATAGAATTTCAGTGTATTTCATTAATGTTTTATTTTGTGAAAAATATAAAACAAGTCATGACGGAAGGTGACATTCTATTTTGTTGTACAGGTGGCACCCCACATCACACATTTCTTGGTGACTGAATCGTACTTCCTGAACCAGAAGCATCGGTCTTGGTTCCACTTGCCCTCTTTGCAGTAGGTGAACTTGTGGCAGTCAGTGGCGTCTCCTTGTCTTTCTCCCTCGGTACATGCTGGAGCTGGTGGTTCTGGTTTTGGAGGAGATGTTGGGTCATCTGCTACCTCCTTGGTCGCTGCTGCCAGGGTACTGGCCAAACCTGTCGTCAGATATAAAAGTGAACAAGTTAAAATACCCAATAGGTTAATAGTAAAAATACATGATAGTTGTATACTACTACTAACTAAATAATGTTTAGTTAGCTGAGCTTAAGCTAAACAGTTTATTAGTTGCAAAATCATTTACGATAAATACACAGTTAATTTAGTGATTAACTTGTTGGTTTTCTTTCGTCTCTATTTTAAACTAACGGGCTCTCTCCGATCCTCTTTACTTCACAGTATTTTCTCCAGGAATTATTTTTCATTCTTCTTTTTCTCATGCGTTGTTTTTTTCAAAGACGTTTGATTTCATGTCATAGTCGTTATAGAAAATTTAAAAGCGAGATTGGGGGGGTTGTTTTCAATTAGGTAATGCAATGTGTTAAATAAAATCAATTTCTGAGTTTTAGATAGATAGATAGAAAGTAAACTTTATTCTGGGACAAGGTCCCTTATGAATAACAGATATGAATAAAAAAATAAAAACTACATCTGGCCAAAAATTACATTAATCAATATTAAAGAATATATACAGTATCGTCAGTGAAATTAAATTAAAACAAGTAAAAATAAAATAAAATTTTGAGAAAAAACGAAATAATAAAAAAAACATTATTTAAATGAAAAAAAAATAAAATAAGCATGGGTTGATTTTTAAAATTAAGACTCAATAAATTTTATCAACCATTCACCTCGGTCAAAATCTGTTTCACAATATTTATTGTATTGTATAACGTCATTTTGGGATGTGAGAAGGAATTGGTAGAGATGATATTTAAATGAGGACAAGGAAGAGGCATGGCGGATTTCAGATGGCAAGGAATTCCAGAATGCTGTGGATCGGGAAATAAAGGAATATTCAAACGTCTTAGTTCTATGGGAATGGATAAAAGATCGGAAGCACGGGATCTTGTTTTCTGGGAGTGAACCACGGGTTTAAACTGTAGAAGACTGTAGATGTAAGAAGGGTGTCTGGTGTTGATTGTTTGGAATAGGAAAGATCCGAGGAAATATTGTCTGCGGAAAGAAGGGAAGAGCCACTTTAACTCGTCGTAAAGATGGGACACATGAGATCGCCTTGATGCACCGAAGACAAATCTTAAGTACGTATTCATGAGTCGCTTCAATCTATCCTCGAGTACCATCGGGAAGGAGATGGATTTAAGAATAGGACTGGAACCTATAATAATGGCCTGAGTTTTCATCGCATTTAGATTTAAATTATTCAGACTTGCCCAGGCACTGATCCTATCTAGGTCTGCCTGAATATTGGCGAACGCGACTAGTAGCTCAGAAGGATGAAAGGAAAAATATATTTGGGTGTCATCAGCGTATAAATGATGTGAACAGTGGTAGATGGATTTGGAAAGATCATTTATGTAGGAATTGAAAAGGAGAGGGGAAATGCTCGAACCCTGGGCCACTCCAGAGGACAGTGTAAGAAAGGAAGATAGGTGTTGGTTTGGAATGCTGACTGCTTGAGTTCTGTCGGATAGGAAAGACTGCAACCAGAGGATAGACCTGTTGATTTGGTTATGGTTGTTATTTAAACCAGGATCCGGAGATTTTCCGAGTGAGGATCGCGGATGAATCCAATGATAGAAACGGATCGTTCGGGAACACACCAACGAAGACTGTACTCGCGGGGCATGATGCACGCAGCTTTGGCAAGGATGTCGACTCTTTAAGTCCCAAGTTTGGCGTCCCGGAACTAAATCAAATCATTGTTTTTCTTCTTCTTTTTTTCCCGACATTAAGACTCAAAAACATTAATTTTCAACTTATCTATGAATATGATCGAACCCCAGATAGAATGAAAGATATCATCAGAAATGAAGAAGGTAATATTATGTGTCTGGTGGCAGTAGCGGATCCAGGATTCTATTTTCGGGAGGGGGAGGCTTCGTCCCGAAAGATTTTTTTTTACATTCATATAACGATTATTAATTTGTAAAAAAAATAAAGAAATTAACTATCTATATGAAATGGTGTTTAAGTGGTTCTTGAAGTCCTATTAAATGTAATTACAGGAACAAGAATACTTTAAGAGATAATTTTTTTCTGTAAAATATGGATATATTTTATCATTTTGGGGAGGGAAAGGGACTTCAGACCGAAAGCCCCCCTGTATATCCGCCTGTCTGTTGGTGCATGGGGGGCACAATGAGTAGGCAAGTTGTAAATAATTATTGGTATTTGGTGAATCAATAAATTAATATATCAAGAGAAATTTTAAACATTTAAAATATTGACTTAAAACTCGGGAATGACTATCATTTAAGCACCATTGGGATGAAATTGAATTGTCGTGTTTGAAAACAACGAATGAGCAACAAAGAAGAATGAAAAGAAATTTAATTGTCAATGAGTGAAAAATAAACTTCTGGAGAAATTACAGCTAAGTTACTATGATCGATGAATGTTGGCTAGTTAGGCGATGTAAGAAACAAAGAGGTAAAACATTAACCATAAATATATTGGTAAATGTATGAAAAAAGTCAAAAAAATAATTTCAAGTATTTTATATTAAATGAAAACTTCTCATATTAAACAGAATGGTTCACTGGAAGAATAATATATTATAATGGTGAAAATTAATATGATAAACTGCAGGGTAGGTATTCATAGACTTTTTTGTCCCAATGTATAAAGAATGGAAGTTAATATTTTATTATAGATAATATGTGAAACCTAATCATCATTGACATTTTTTCAGAAAACACGAATAAATTTCTATTCCAATTTTACTATCAACAGCAATACTTACATATTTCGGAAAATCATTGACTATTTCAGTAATAATTCAGAAACACTGATACTTGAAAAGGCCAGCTTTTGGCAAGAATTAAATTTCAAGACCCGGTTTTTTACAAATAAAAGTTGACTCGGTTTCGATTTGGCGAGAAAAAATGGTTATAAGGACCACTTCATCCGGTGGTAAAACGTTATAAAACTGTATTATATCTATTTTTTACAATAATGATAGTACAATAAAATTAATTTAATTTTACATTTTCATTTCTATTAAACAATACTTAAGCTTTATAATAATGCTTAAGAAGCTTTGTAATTATACTTAATGTAAGCTTCATAATATTCCTTGAAAAAAAAGTCGGTTTCAAAAATAAGCTGATTTATAATATCACTTTTTTAAATATTTAAGTTCGTTTTAGAAAAAATAATGCACCATTGAATTTATTAGATGTTTTTATGTGGGAGTTTAAACTTATCTCGATTTCAAAAAAAAAAAAAAAAAAAAATTAAGAATGGAATGGAATTCACTTTGGAAATAAGTGGACAATTAATGGAGTTGTTTTTGACAATGACAGTATGTGAATTACATTTTAGACCTTTCACTGTTTATATTGTGGATTTTCCCCATTATTTAAATTAATTATTAAATGGAATAATTATTTGTAATTTTATTGCATGATGATAATTATATAGATAAAATATATTAAAAGCCAAAGCCATGCTGAAGCAAAATGCTTTGAGATGTATATGTTGTATTTATACTCACAGAAGCAGAGAATTGCCAAACGGAACCAAAGAGCCATTATGGAATGATATTCTGAGGTAGGAGAGGGTATATATATATATATTACCTGCCTTATCAATCTACTTCCATTTCTCAGATCGAATGAGCTTGCTTTTCCGTTACGTCACTACTCAACTACGAACCCATCAATATCTAAAATATTAGTATTAATTATGACCAATTCGAACCAAAACTGTTATTAATTAGTCAATTCATTGCCATTGTTAATAAAACAAAAATATTGGCTTTACAATTGTGTAATAATTTGAACTGATGATAATTTATAGTTTTTAAATAATATATTCAAATGATTAGATGTTTGTTTTGTTAATCAGTTATTTTAATCAATTGAAAATAAATAGTTATACAGTGTGTCTCGTAAGTAGAGGGAAACTTTTATAAGCGTAAAAGTGGACCTCAAGGCATACAAAACAGTTCATATAAACAACGGGCCAATTTTCATCAGAAAATCCAAGTTTAATGTTTTTGTTTTTTTAAAGTAACTTATGCTTTTTGATGAATAGGAAGCGATATCTAAAGAAATATTTAATTTAAGTAATTAACAATTATTTCACTGTAAACTAGATAAAATTTGTCAATGTTAAAATCATTTAAAGAGTACTTTTGAGCGGCTAAACTTGGCTATATACTGTTTTAAAAAAATCATCAATTTTGGAATTTTTTTTTTTTTTTCAAATACCCCACTTTCAGAATAAATTCTTCATTTAATAATTTTCAATTTAATATTAATTAAATTGAGGTTCAATTGGAAAATTCTTGAGATTCACCTCAAGTTGGTGTAAAGAAATTATTTCAACTTCTATCCAGCCACCTGATAGTGCTCGTGTTTTCAGCAAATACGACCACAATTAACTGTTGCAAAGCTTTTATTTATTGTTTTTTCATGATCTAAGATTTATTTTAATAAATATAATTACCTAAATCGACTTTTCATTAATAGATTAAAAAAAACAATAATAATGATTTTTTTTTCTGTGTATGTGTTCTTTTTATTTATTTATTTTTAGGTAATTTTATTCTTATTTATTGTATATATATTATTTTTCTGTATAATTTATTTTATTTATTGTACATAGAGTGTGGATGTGATCTGTGAACTCTATTATAAATGTCCTAGAGACAGATTGTAATATTTTCAATAAATAAGTTTAAAAAACAAAACAATAATAATGATTTTTTAAAATACTTTTCATGTAAAATATATACGAAGCTGGGTTTTGCTCTCAGCTCTCTGTCATAGGAATTGATCCATATTTATAAGTGAAAAAATTAATTAATATCATAAAATTTACGTTTAAAAAAACCAATCCTTGTAAATTTATAGACTTTATACTCATATAAAGTGCAGACTTTTCGCTCTCCCATATGAAGGTTAAAAAGAACGGTGTTTAATATTCTTATAACTTTAGATTAGATTGGATTTTGATTCAAAATCATTTTGGTAAAATAACAATTAAAAGAAAAAAAAATTATGAAGTTGTTAATACTTTTATTATTATAAAGGAAAACTGATTTAACTTTGAAGTGTTTATAAGATCTAATCGATTGCATTGTCACATCAAGGACGTTTGTTTCTAATAATAGTCACTTCTATTTCATTACTAATTGTGTACAATATTTTCATAAAAATAAAATAAATCCATTTTGGTAATCTGTTTTTTATGATCCTTTTGAAGTATTTTAATTGTTATTGAACATTGCTCTTGATGCAAGAATAAGGTAGTGTTAAGAGAGTTAATCAGTTATGGCTTTCGTTGTTTACTTAAGATATATTTATCATAATTGTTAAAGGAAGGTACCGCTTTTATCGAATGCTCTCCTGGGTCCCTTATCATATCATTTGCTCTCTACTTATAATGTAAGTGATTATAAAGATAAATATGATTTTTTTTTTTCCTGCCGCTGCTAAGTGAATATTGTAAACCGGACAAAATTTCGATATACAGTTTTAACAGATTTAGACGTTTTAGGGCACCACGAGGTGGAATATTTTTTAGATTTATCGAAATAGTATTTTCATATATTAAAAAAATTATCAATATATCGATAGCATAATGCTTCTCGCTTTGTACACTTTTCCGCAGGTGAAATTTCTTCAACTTTATCATTCGTCATTTTTTATAAAATATAACATATAACTATATAATATAACTAAAAAACAACTGTTCGTAGCATAACTAGAAAATGGAGGACGTCGTACAGTGGTCTCAAACTCGATTTTTTAAATCATATTTCTATAACTCGGTTATTTTTCAACAGATTGTCTTTTTCCTCTTCGTTTAATAGCATCACTACTAAATATACTCCATCATCTGTGCAATAAATATAAAATATTATAAGAAATAATACATAAAAATACAAAAACAAATGAGACTATAGCAGAGAACGTGAGGTATCGATAATTGTTTTTTAATACTTGTAAAAGAAAAAGGATTCAGGAGTTCAGTATAAAATTCAGCAAAGAATTATTTTATCTTAGTTAATTTTTTTAACGTTTTTTTTGACACATATAGGTCATTTAACCCCATGAATTAACTTTATTCAAGATTCACCAACTTCCAATTTTTAAACATTACTATAGTTGTAAGTCTAGAGCCGATATTATATTTCAATAATTGGGTATCTATTGTCGGCTTATTTCGAAAAATCATAATGTAACATTTCAGAAAATTAATTAAGTGAATAATTTGATTAATTTTCATATGATGAAATCACAAAATTATCTACTTCCAATTAGTGTCAATTTTTGAACTATCGATGGTAGGCAACGAAAATCTCGCAACTTTATTAAACTTTACAATGAAAAAAAAAAATAATAACTAATAGTAGTACAGTCCATAAATATTTATAGGTTAATTAAACTGATGTACTTTCAGATCTTTTCAGACACAAATAGCTCAGAGAGTGGAATTATGTGGTTTACAGGTTAGTTATAAGGGTTAAGGTTTAACTTCATTAAAATGCATTTAAAAAAGCTTTGTAGTAGTCCAAAAAAAAAGTTTTATTTAATGTAGAGTGATAAGTGAAAGTTGAGTGATGCGCGATTTTTATTATTATTGTTATTGAACATTTAGTTACCCATTTCTCTGAATATATTATTTCTTTCAATTTATTTATTTATATTATAAGTCTTTCAATAGCCTTTTCCTAAGTATCTCTCGAATAATTTTCTTTTTATAACAATCAATACCTAACAGTGATAAGTCCTCTTAAGAGTATGCATAATCTATAGAGCCATGACTTTTAATTGATAAAATGTCACAGGAAAAATGTTTTTTTTTTTTTAAATTAGAAATACTTTAACAGTAATCCAGTGATAATTGAAATTTCAATGAAACAAAATTCTTTAAAGTAACAAAAGTAAAGCAGTTCTTTTAAATGAACTGTTTGTTCGAAAAAAAAAAATCCGGTGCGCGCAACACACAACTTTCACTTACCGCTCAACTTTGAATAGAAATTACTTTCTAAGGCCATGTTGGGCTATTATAAATTTTTTAATTGCATTTTTAACTGATAGTGTGAATTCAATCAAAATCTTTAGAGCTATTTTCGAGAAAATCGAAAAATGTGTTAAGTCCACTGTATAAAGTGCCACTTCCGGTTTGCCGATTCTGATGAAAAAGGTGCTGTAATATCCCAAAAGTGTAAAAACCTTAAATATGCACACACACACACAGATCATTTTGCGGGACTTGATAATTTGGAGTCGAGGGACTTCAAAAGATGTATTCGAAACTTTTCATGATCGTAATACTTTCACTTAATATGTACTTCATATATAGGTAAGTGAAAGTAAAAAACATAAAATAAATAATAATATATATTAGTCTGTGGGCCAGACCCCATGCTGGGTACCCTCCCTCCCCCTCCACATCCCCATAAATTGCATACCGTTGTTATCCTTGTAACTATTTATTAAAAAAAGAGCCAATGTTCCCACAAAAAAAAAGTGTACGCCCTGCCCTAAACATGGCGAACTGACCACTTCGACTTTAGTTAGTTATTTGGCTTAATTTCGTCATAGTTGATCTTCTATTAAAGCTAAATAGTCAGAGAATAATAAAGCATAACAAATTATTAAAAAAATAATTGCCTTAGGCAATAAAAAACACCAGTAAAGTAAACTTTTTTAACAAAAAAAATTCTCAAATAGAAAATCAAGCTTCGTTTGTAATTAAACGGCCAACAATAACGCAAAACGTGCTGAAGTAAAACATCTGGATAATACATTTTTCTTTCTAAAACACTGATTATTTTTTTTTAAATATATGAAGCAATTCCGTAGAAAATGCACTTAAGCGGAAGAAAAGTGGTACTGTCGTGGTTGCCTACAGACCTACCATTCAGTACTCATAAATGTCTTAGGTATAGTGCTATAATAACGTTTTTGGTACATTGTATTGATTTTATTAACGAACAAATATTAATGCAATAATTTAATTGTCCAAAAAATTAAACAATATTTTTTTTTAATTTATTATTTTTTTATTTATCTTCCTCTATTTTTATGGAGGTAGTTTAAGAAAGTCACTATTATAAAAGTGATATAACTATAAACATAAAACTTAATTTAAAAATACTTTGCTGCAGATCTTGAATTTTTGTATATTTACTGATTCTTAGAAATAATTCAAATTGTTGTACTTCCCCAGAAATGTGTCATATTAATACCTGTTTTATAAACTAAAATATAAAATATATACTATAATTATCAGGATATTATTTTAATATAAACATTAGTGTAATCATAGTTGAAATAATATGGAAAAGTGGTTTATGCTACAATTGATAATATGAGAATAAGTAAGTAAATACTAAATATATAATGAAAATTTTTTATAAATAGATATTTCACCTACGGATTTATTTTTCTAAAAACTAAAAAATTTTTGAGAAGAGTTTTTGGTAATATTCCTTTATTTAAAATATTAAGATTCAATTAATAACTGTGTATATATTGATAATAATATTTTTTAAAAGCAGTAGTCATGCAGAACT